TGTCATGGAGGGTCTTCTTCTTGGAAGCTGTCTCAAGCTGCCTCACCTCATGCTGGGTATTAACCTCTTCACTCTGTCCCTCTGTGATGTAGAGCTCAGTGTAGATCCTGTTGAGGAGGGTTCCACTTCCTGTTTCTCACTTCCTTCAGTCACACGTTCACATCTCCTCCTCAGACTGATCTTATGTTCATCTAAAACCTCCTGCAGACCACCTCTCACTTCAAAAAAGAAAAAAAAAAGTGGAAGTAAAAGTAAAGTTTAACAATCTAGTGATTATTTTCATTACAAATAAAACAATCAATCAATATAAGAATAAATATAGAAGTAAAAGGTTATAAAGTCCAGTTTTGGGGGAACATCGGAAATTTCACATCTTATCTTAGGCCCCATTCATACTACTCCATTTTTTAAAAAATGGACAGTTAAAATGAATACGATCTCCATCCACAGCAGCGTTTTAGCTGCGTGTCGTTGATCTCAGTCTGTATTAAAACGTCTGAAAACGCACATCTAGTGGGCATTCACGTACACTGGGCATGCGCTTGCTAGTATAAACATGAAGCAGATGGTCTAATCCGCAGAAGATTTAGCGAAAGAATAATGTAACGCATATGAAGAACCACATCAGATTTTATTTTTCATGGACCAATAACGAGCTGGGACTGTTACTGAATGTAACACGGGAGTTAAAGCTACTGTGGCAGCAGAAAACAGACTGAGACTCGTCACAGAGTAAATATGGCAACATACACAGTACAAGTATAGGCTGCTAAGTGTTATTTGTAAGGTACAAATATTTTAATAAAAATAGCAAAACTAAAACTCAGTCAGCAGCATTGCGTTTCTGCTTTGCATGACTTAGAAGATCCAAGCAGAGAGCCAAATGTGAGCGTCTGTGCCATCGTTTCTAAAGTCCTCCGTTTTTGCCCGTCTTCACTAAAACACTCTCCGGAGGTAGCTAAAGGGGTACCCAGTTTGTTTAAAAGCGATGTCTTAACCAAGCGTCCATTTGTGATGAGTACGGGGGTGAGAATGTCCCCCTGGTTTGAAAACGTTTTACGTCAAGCAGCAGAAGGAAAAGCTCACTTTGAGTCAGCAGTAAGTTAAAGTTCTGATGACTTAAGTAACAGAAAACAGCAGCTGGTATCTCCACGGGACCATTTTCTGCCCTTTTTCCATCCACTGCTAACTTTTCCATCAGTGCTGCCCGTGGATGTTTGTTCTTCACCTTTAGGAACAATATATGGTGGAGAGAATCTGAGCTCAAAGCTCCACTTACTAATGATTCAAAGCAAAGTGTTCATCAAGGTGAGCAAAGCTGAACTACAAATGCTTTTTCACCACATGTTGCACAATTATGATCTGAAGTGATTCAAGATGCATCTGGTGGATCAGAACAGCTGATCTGAGGAAGAGCCAAACAGCTCAGTGTTTAGAGGACAAATAGGAGAAAATGAAGGACACATTTGAAGCAGATTCTTTCAGATTCTGAATCCTTCTAAATCTTTACAGTGACGTCAACATGAAGCAAAAATATGATCATCTTCTATGAGTTTACAGTCAAAACAGTTTGTTACTTTGTGTCTGAGGGTCCAGGTTTGTTACTTCTGGAAGTTTATCTTTGGACCGGTCACTCTTCACAGACAGACAGCTGGATCCTGCAGTCTCTGGTCTGTCCTCCTCTTCCTCCCCACAAATACTCATGTTCTGGACTTCAGTCTGTCTGGGAGGTAAAACAGTAACACTGACTGTGAGTTTAGGAAACACACTAATCAGGAAGAACAACAATCCAGAGGGAGAAAACTGACTCAGAGACATTGACAGTAAAATAATAAATGTTGGTTTAACACTCACTCTGCCTCAGCCTTCAGTTTTCCTTCTTTTGCTGAGTCACAATGGAGTCTGAACTGACTGAACTCTTTCAGCTGCAGAGTCCCTTCCTTTTATCATGTGCCCGGGTCACATGATCAGTGTTGCTCCTCCCCTTACATTTACAGGAAATCAGCTTTTAACTGTGTGTGTGTGTGTG